ACACTCACACACACACACACACACACACACACACACACACACACACACACACAGTGAGAGAGAGAAAGAAAGAGAGCAGGCAGAGATTGTTTCCTACGGCGTTTGGCTGATGAATAGAGGAGGAGCTAAAAATAAACTGTCAGCACTAATGAGGTCATATGTGATGTACAGTAGGACACACACACACACACACACACACACACACACACACACACACACACACACACACACACACACAAGTATAAGAACATGATGACCAGAAACCAAAGGTGACATTTAAAAAATTACTGCAAAAATAAAATAAAAAAACCTTCAATGCCAGTTATTTAAACACACAGATGTAACTTTCTGCTTTAATAACCTTTCATTCTGACCTAACTTTACTAAAACTGTATGTTCAAACTTCCACATTTTTCCAAAACTACTTCAAACGTAGTTTTTAGCTTTTGAAAAATCCATGTGTTTTTTTAATCAGAATAAAACAAATCTTTGTAAACAGACATGATGTGTGACAAAAAGCAGCTAACAACCACAAAAACAATATAATTTAAATAAACAAAGCTCAAAGCTGGGAAAATTATCTTCTTTTCTAAAAACTCCATAACAACCCATAATAGAAGAGGAGCACAAGGTAAAAGGTTGGAGGTGATACAATAAAATATTTAAATGTTAAGGTTCCTGATTTTTATTGTTTTACTTCGTCTGTTAAAAAAATGTCACTAAAGTTGACCGAGAACTTACTTTATTTACAAAAACAAGCCTTAAATATTTTTACAATGCCTGTTAATTGATTAATTGATTGTAATTAATTGATTACTCCTAATTTACACTAGGTGTGGAACCGCATCTAGGGTAAATTAGGGGTTAAAGAGTTTCAAAAATTCAAAATTTCCCGAGCTGGGTTCATGTTACCGTTTCTTCTCTGCTTCTTGGCTCAGCTTTGTCAAATCAAAAAGATTTATTGTAGCCGAGTTTATATGAAACAGGTAGACTAACACAGCCCAAATTAAAGTTTTAATAACTTTATTGTCATTATGATCTTTAGAAAAATGTATTTTGGGGAGGTAACCTCCCAAAAAAATGTAGTTTTATGATTTGGTTGACTTTAATGTTTTACTGTTTATGTRCAAGGCTCACAGAAACATATTACCWTCCAACATTCAGTCAAATTTTGTTAAGAGAGACAGCTGTTATTATTTTAAAGGGATAGAAATGTTTGTGAAGCCATATTTTCGTACTTGCTTGAGAGAAAGATGTACTTTAATCCAGGGTATAGGATTGTGGAATGGTCTGGAGGACGATCTTAAAAATGCCAGATCTGTGTATATTTTTAAGAGACAGATAAAAGCTAGTTTTCTGAAGGTAAATGGAAAAGTAAAATGAGAAGCTATATGAATTGTTTGAGTTGAGGTTTTTATTTTTATTTAGTAATGTTTTGTAAATTATTTTTTGTTTGAATATTTTCTGGGGATAAAATGGGCAACCATTATAAGATTTATTCTTCTTCTTCTAGCTTTCATTTAATTTTGATTTGTGTATTTTCTTTGTTTTCTATTG